CGAAAGCAGGCGGCGATGCGCCTGCGTCCAAAGCAGCGAAAGCAGGCGGCGATGCGCCTGCGTCCAAAGCAGCGAAAGCAGGCGGCGATGCGCCTGCGTCCAAAGCAGCGAAAGCAGGCGGCGATGCGCCTGCGTCCAAAGCAGCTGGCAAACGAGCAAAGAAGACGGAGTAGCACTATGACATTTTTAATTTTCAGTTTTGATTACAATAAAAATTTAGTTTTACATTTTTGTGTGTTTTATATATTTTTAAACGAGGTGAAGGAGCTGGTTTTGGCATTTCCTGCATCAGGCCTTTTTCGTGTACGTAATCCAAACTGCAGGCACCAGAATAATAAAAGCGAACATGTTTTGCGGGCAGATTTTGACATTTTAAGTTAATTTAGGTGTCAACTGTATCAGAGGAGTGATCATGCCGCATCATCAGTGTTTCTCCCTACCAGCTCAGTGCGACGCGCCGCTTCAGCTGCTCTAAACGTGCAGCAGACAGCATACGCGTTCATGTGTTTTGAAGGCGTTGTTTCGAGGGGTGGTCTGAAGGGAGAGGCATGGTTGTATGTTCAAAAATATAGCTTGTCTCCTCCTGCACCTTTAAAGGTGTAGTGGAGGATGTTTTCCTGGGTGGATCATCAAAATAAGTGGTGCTAATTATCAATCATTCTGGTGATCTGTTTATGTAAGGCTGTGTATGTGCCCGTCCCCATTTTCGCTTAATGGTGAGTCTGACATGGTGGGGGGAAAAAAAATAAAATTACAAATCTTTTGGAAACTAAGCTTGTATGAGCTCAAACGGAGCATGTGCATTTAAGTGGAGAGGGCAGGTTTTTTTTGAAAAATTTGTGAAAATCCTCCTATACCTTAATCAACATGGAAGCATCAGGTGGGGGTGGTCATACCTGGCTCTGCCCCTGGTATTTTCTTTTAAAGAGCTTCAGTTCTTCAGGTCTCTTCTGCAAATTTGTTCATCTCAGAACTAGATGTTTAACATGATTTATTCAAATGTAAGCTGAATACATTTACAGGTAGATTAGATGTAACTGCAACTAAAAAGATGTGTTTTCTTTGCAGATAAGAGAATGATGGTGTGCATGCAAAACCACAGATTTCCTCCAAAAAAAGACACAGCTGTCCTTGTTTTCATAACACCTCTACAACAAGCAACCGATTTCCCTTTTAGTCTCTGCATACCTATTTTCACTGCTCTATTAAAGCCACTGACTTCAAAAGGCTGAGACGGTGATCTATTTTAAAGATTTTTTTTTTCTGTTTTGCAAAAGTCTGTTGTGTTAACTTTGGTTTTCCTGTGAACACTTTCTACAAAATGACACCAAAGTGTGTCAGCATGTTAATGTTGGATTTTCCGAGTCTTTTTACTTCGATGCGGCTTATCTTTTTGAATAATTAAAATGACTATCATTTTACATTTTATATTTTTCATCGAAACAGATTCAGTCACACTGAGCACTCAAGTTCTTTTCTTTTTTACATCAGTAGTACTTTTATAGGGGAACTACTGAAAATGGTGCAGAAAACTGCTAGTTAAACTAAGAGGATTTTTGACCAAAAAAGTTTCTACATCTACCCAGCTCAATCTGTTAGTAATTCTTTGCTTCTTCCTGTATTTGGACATTTTAGATAATTTCATGACATTCTTCCAAAATGTACAGATTGGTTAGGAGCAGTTTTTAAGTGCTGCATATGCTTAAACTCTGCCAGAATAAATTATGTGAATATTTATTCGGTTAAAGATATATTTTATACTTAACATCTTTTATTTAAAATGTTAATTTCAGTAATCTAATGATGCACTATAGATGTGAATGACTTGCATGATAACTATTCCCTCTTGGCTCTTTACCCTTTTTGTTTCATAGCAAACCAATCGGACCAATATTCAATACTGCGTGTGATGTGGGGCGACACTGAACATCTATATAAAGACTCTTTGACCATGGGTGATGATTTTTTTCTCTCAGATATATTTATCCACACATCAATTTACGGGTTAATTTTATATAAGCACATAAACAGCCACTGTGATGCTAAGAATATTACATAGTTAGTATTTCAGCCTTTAATATATTTATCTTATTCACAAAGGTTGTATTTATGAAGGATAAAAAATTGTCTGTTAGCTCAGCCTGATGCTAGTTTTTCTGCAAACACTTAATAGATTGACAGCAAAGCCTCATGCAGTCAGAAACCAATCACTCTGCACTGCTATGTCTGTTTTTATCATGCTGAGATGCCTGGCTTTCATCACCCTGTTTGGTGAGTTCATAATGTTTCACACATTTAACATTACTTTGATTATGAAAACAGCTTTTAAAGCATTTTTCCCAACTACCTGAGCGATTCAGCTTCCTGCTCAGTTTAATCTGAGCAGGAAGTACAGTTTATACAGTTTTCTCACTTTGAAATGTGTCAGCTGATTGGGAGTCTACATAAATGAACTTTATCTTAATTGTATTTGTTTTTCTTTTTGCCAATAGGATTTTTTTATGAGGTGCATTTACAAGGTCAGTTTGTGATTTTTGTCATGTGATATTTGTTGCTATACTGTGACATTTGTACTACCTTTTATTAGAGTCGTTGAGAATCCTAAACATACTCTGGGAAGTAGATATCTGTCTGCTTTGATATTAAAGAATGTTATATCATTAATAGATGATTTAAATATAGCACCTAGGTATACGATCCTAAGCCTAAGCTAACAGTGAATTAATCAAGAATCACAGGTGCATTAAGCTGTCAGGCTTAACATGACAGGCTTTTGTTTCTGTGCATCAGTGTTTATTCTATGTGGAGGAGGAACTCAGAGATCCTTACAATGCCCTTCATGCTTTACAAGATAAAAAAACAACATTTTTTTTCTTTTTACAATTTTTACCCTTCACAACTATTCTTTTTTCTAGGTTTAAAGCCACAAATAAGTGTCAAATATTTCAAGGGTCAGTATGCTTTCTTCACCTGCTCTCTTCCTGGATCTGTGAAACATGATACTGAATGTAATCTGTACTTTGGAGAGTTAAGTCATCCAGTCAAAACAACCAGAAGGAAGACAAAGAGCTCCAGAACCAAGCTGTGGTTCTGTTGGACTGAGATCCCAGAAGATGAATTATTGAGGAATCTATGTTTAGTTCAACAGAAGGAGGTCAGCTGTGATTACACTTTGGAAAATGATGGGAAACCTTTATCACCTCGAAGTGATCCATACAGCCTCCATGGTGAGTCAAACATCACATACAGTAAATGGGCAAGGCAAGTTTATTTGTATAGAACATTTTAGTGGCAATAAATCTCTAGGTGCTGTACATGAATAGAACATTAAAGCAAAAGTGTCATTATATATACAGGCAAAGAAACGTGGGACTACAAACAATCTAATGAGGTTTTGGTTAACAGTTTAAATGGAACATTCAAAAATCTAAGTAATCAAAGATCTAAATAAATAGATTTTTAAACTTAATTTAAAGCTACTAGGGTTTCA